CTTGTAAGGATGATGTCTATGAAAATGAAAACTGACAGTAAAATAAAAATCCTTTTACAAGAAGTAGAAGCAATGGTATCACAACTCTTAAGACTCAAGGAAACGGAACGTCACCTCCAGTACTATGGTTCTCATTCCCCTGGTAACCTATAAACCACGTCAGTATTTTACTTATTCAAATTTTGAGGTTTATAATGCCTGATTTGCAATATTTTACAGCTGCTGGTGCTTGATTTTTTCTTTTCATCACAAAAAATTGCAATTTTAAGCCTGTGGAATCTCAGCCAGTGTGTCCTTTTTTCAAGATAAGATCCCTTCTTTTTCAGATATCTGACTCAAGACGCTTTGTGACGTCCTCCTGACATGAAAGACGCTATACAAATGTAATTTCGTATTGTATTGTATTTGTTCCCTGTCTCTTTTCTCTCAACACTGTCCTGCAATTTTCATGTGTAGGTGGGTTGCATGGAAATCTCACTTTGGTTTGATTACTCTTAAGAGTGGTGATGGGTTTCCACATGTGTCAGACACCCGGCTGACCAAAAAGCAACTCATCTAAGAAAGCAGCAGATAATCTGTTCCTCAGGTCTCCAACATTGTTGTTTTAAACCTGACCACTGGGAAGCATAAGAATGACCACGATTTTGTTCTTTGTTCTAACTTTCCATTCAGCAGTTCCAACATCAGGACAAATATTGCATATGAAAGATGATGGAAGTATGTGGATGAATTTGTGTTCTACCATCTTCACAGGTGCCAGGGTCCTTCCAATGAGGGTTCAAAGCATTGTGTTGCTATGGCCTTCAAGTATTCTTTTAGAATTCTGCTTCACCAGTGTCAGTCAGTCAGAGCTGTACGGCAAATACGCTCAGTTTCTTAAGCTAAATGTGCTCAAGACTGTATATTTTCTTGTAGGTCACTGAGGCTCTCCGGAACTGGAATGTGTTTCAAAATACAGTATCTACAAATTGCTGTAAATAATAATAATAATCCTTGCATTTGATATAGCGCTTTTCACGTCTTCTCAATGTCTCAAAGCGCTTCACAGAATAGACTGTATAGTGAATTGACTGTATATTTGTGGGCGAAACGTGGCAGCCAATTGCGCACAGCAGCGTCCCACAAACAGTCGTGGATTGAAAATGACCAATTTATTATTGTTTTGCGATGTATAAATTGGCCCATGGGCAAATGAGATCCATATTAGTGCAGTTATATACTGTGCATGATATCTCTTTGTTATCATTGCAAAATCACTTCCTAATTAAGATGGAACAGAGTGATGTAATGAGACTGGAATCTGAAAATAATATGATGCTGCAACTTTAAACATCAGATTGTATCTACAATGATGTTTTGAATGAGACATTAATTGTACTTTGTAGAAAGTAGAATTAGAATTATTAATAATTTTGCACAACGCAGCATTCGTTATGCCTGAGAAGAGAAAGCAGGAAGAAAGTTATAATAGATATAAAAATGAGGTCGGTACTTCAAAGAATAAGCACATACCATGTAGTTTAATTTGTTAAAAAACATCTGATTTTGCTTTTGAGTCATTTTGTATGTACATACTGAATGGAGTTGCATTGATGGATCGTGCACCTTGGCAATTTGACAGAATGCTGGATGATTCATATATATTTTAACAACATCATCTTGTAATTAAACCCACCAAACTGGCAAGAGCTGCCTGTTATCTGACAATATGTGTCCATCCCAAACAGAGTGCAATCACACACACACACACACACACAGAAGGGAGAATACATTTCATCTGGCCTGTGGTGGTACAACACTAACAACAACTTGTATTTATACAGTGCCCTTCCACATAGAGTAAAATTGCGCTCGGAGTACTTTTACAAAGACTGGGTCAGCCTCTGAGACAGGCAGAGGGGGGAAGGCGGAGGTGAGACTTTAAGACAAATAGAGAGAGCACAAGATGGAGGAGTAAAGGGAGGGAGTTCCAAACTTTAGAGGTGTAGAACCTGAAGGCTCAGCTAACCATAGTGGTATTGAGAGGATGGGGTAATGCGTAATAAGCCCTAGTTGCCAAGTGCAGTGGACAAGCAGAGGAGAAGGTCGGAGAGACAAGAAGGTAGACATGTATATATATATATACTGTATATACAAGATAGTTTTCTTAAGTTCTATGGTCTAACCGTAATGTAAGACTACATGATGCTATAGTTGAAAGGAATGCAGGGGAACTAATAAATATTTCAGAGACATTTGTGAATACCGTTTTATCAAATGAATGCTAACAGTGCAGATTTGCTGTAATAAAGTCAGCCTAGTTTCATCTCCCTACCCACAACCCTCAAAGCCTGCACATATGGGGATTCAGCAGTTCTGTCAGTATACATTAAAATTAAATGGTGTGTTTTGTTGACACCGAACAGCTCAGAAATGTCATAAACTGGGCAAAGGAGCCATTATTGAAAGTCTAGATGCATTAGTGTTCTACACCCAATAGGGATTTCCTGTACATTGCATGTTGAGTCCTGACTTACTAAATCTCGAGAAAGTGTTTTCAGTGGCTTTTGCAGTTTGTGCAAATGTTAGGTTTTTGTAAGTAATCTGCAGAAAATGACATCATGTCTGAAATCTAACGTACTGCTTTGCCCAACATAGAATCAGGAAATCTCTAATGGACTTTGACTGGATTTTTCTAGAACTCTTCAATCATCAAAACTTACACTGGACTAGAGCAGGGGCATAACTGAAGTGATGACATCTTAAATAGTATTGAAACTGACCGGGAAAAAAAACACTGCTTTCCACAGAGTCCCTGACATCATTATCCCAACAGTAATCGTCGATTTGTTTCAGAATGGGTGTTCAGGGGTTACCATTTATCAGGAATCACCTAACTACTGGTTAGTGTATTTCCTCTATTGGTGGTGAACCCACAGGGTAAATCAACACCAGTTAACTTTTAACTTATTATCTTGTTTCTCTCTTTACCCTCTGAATGTACCATCACAACAAGGTAACCTTTGTATTTATTGTTCGCAGATGCATTGCAAAGTCTCATTGTGTGGCAGGCATCTTCTCTAGCATAAGTATATTCTCTTCCCCCCAAGCCACATTTTATTGGTTAAGTAAGCTTGTCAATCGAGAAGCATGTTCTGTCAATGTTGGCTATTTCTAATCTATTAGAACAATTGTTTAATCAAGCACAGGGTCGGTTAAAAACAATTTATTTTGTAATCTAGAAGAGATCATTTTTTCCTGACTGGATTGAAAAGTAGTCCAGATATTTTTTGCAATAGGCCCTTCAATACTCCAACATGTGTCCAGTCAGGATAGCAGCATAAGGATGGAAGAGTCAGGTCACTGGAAGATGACCTGCTTTTCATTCCTTATGTGCAGGCCAATAAATAATTGGCTATTCTGTAGTAAATGACAACTGAAATAAGTGATCTTTAGGGTGAAATCTGAGGCCTTTCATAAGTATCACAAGGAACATGTTAAGAAATGTCACAATTTTCACACCTGAAGTGGGGATTTCATGAGGTTTAAATATGCTAAAACTTCTCCAGTGAATGGCCCAGTCATATTGAACATGAACTCATAAAATTGAGTCATGAATCTTTAGTGCCAGCCGGGAAATCTTTTTTTTCAGGCAATAAATAAATTGCTCGCCCTATTTATGGTCTAAGTCTCCTGATATTAAAGGACAGAGCAGTCATATTCTTCTAAAAAAAATCAAAACCATAATTTGATCAAAACCATACTTATTTTTTTCAAGGATTGAGGTTATCTGTTCTTCAGATGGACGTTAAAGATCCCGTGACACTGTTTGAAAAGAAAATAGAATTTCTCCTAGTTTCCTGGCCAACAGTCCTTCATATAAATTGATCATTCATCTTATGGTTATTTGTGGGATCTTGCTGTCCACAAAAGGGTTGTTGCTTTTGCCTATAAAATGACTCACTAATCTTGAGAGTAATTCGTATAACGCCTATTAAGATGTGTGGCACTATAAAAATGCAAGTTCATTTTTGTTCTATTGAAATACCGTTCTCACTTCTCTTTTTTAAAAAAATCTTCCAAAACAACAGCTGATTTCCTAATTTCTCTTTCTTGTTAATCTTTCACTGTTCCAATCAGCTCATCGCCTAAATTTGCACTTTGATGAATGAACACACCAATTCTTACTTGACTTTTGTCCTTTGCTGACAAGAAACTTATGTATTTTATTTCCCTCCCCCATAGATTCCTTGCTTGCATTTTGCATTTGATATTGTGCCTTATCACATCGTTGAGAAGTCTCAAACTGTAAAGTGAATTGTCTGTATATTTTGTGGGCAAAATATAGCCCATCCGTTTGTAAAAAGGAAGGCTGAGATGCTGACTGACCTGAAGTCACTCTTAAACTGACTTCCAAGAGGTGAGGTAGAGCAGTCTGGGGGCAATTAACACACTGAGTTTCGTTCTCAATGTAGCGTGTAGTGTGCCTGGGTTCTGCTTGTCAATGTTTCCCAGATGAGATATGAAATCCACTGTGTACCAACCTGTACCACTCCGCTGTGCTGCAGAAGACTTTTCTGAGCAAATGTGCATAGAATGTGGTTTATTGCTGTTCAGGGTAATATAATATATAGTTCAAATCCAAAGTGGTTCTTTATTTAAGATCCTGTGAGCTCTTATTAATCATAGCCTTAAATTTGGTTAAGTGATGTGACCAATTAAGAGCTTTGTGAGTTTAATTGTTTGTGATGGTAGGTTTTCCCATGGGCCCTATTAACAGCCTCATGTGGTCTAGTTGCTCATATGATACCTCTAATAATTATTGTAATTGTAACTGCAATTAATGGACAGTCACTATCTATCCTGGCAGAATGCAAGAGTGGCTTCCAGACCTCTTGCTTTCTTTCAGAACCTCCTAAACTGAATTTCAATTTTTTTTTGTATGAGCACTTTATTTCTACATTATTCTCCGTGTTACTCCTCAAGACGGTGCCTTGAACTACTGGGATCTATCTCCACAGATGCTGGCAGCCTGATCGGTCAGTGCCAACAGGCTATTCGACTGGGACAGGAAGCGTCAGTGCTGAGCCTGATCATGACCTATGAATACAGAGACGAGAGCAGTGATGGCCAACCTTTTTGCTTAGCCAACAAAATAAATGTTCGTGATTGAATATTTCTTTGTTCACGGCCGCGCTGTGGGCATCGCCGCTCAGTAGCAACTGGAAACGAGGCATTGATTTGGAACGGGCTCGCCTGGACTGGTGTGAATGTTTGAGGGCCACTTCCGGCCCACGGGCCATGGGTTGGCCATCACTGTACTGGAGCAACTGAGAATGTTTTCACTGAAACAGAGAAGGTTAGAGGGAGGCCCATAAATATCTTTAACATTCCAAGGGGATTTGACAGGATAGATCAGGAGAAAAAGAACTGTGGAAAATGACTTTTAAACTAAGATTGCATTTAAGAATTTAAAACATTCTGCACAAACTTCAGGGTTAAGACATCGTCTTTTAGGCTAAAAGATAGGAAATCTCGGGCCTCTGAACTTTTACCAAAGTGCTTTGATTTGAAAAAAAAAGGTTCCGTTTTGTAAAATCGTTATCGCAGTAAGAACAGGATCCAATTTCAGAAAAGTTTTTTTTACCACTTTATTTTTAAAAAAGTCCCAGATTCCTGCTACTACAAACCAGTTAACTTGATTCCTAAAAACTGCACCATAAACAATAAAAAATAAAAATTTCAGTGAAGGGCAAAGGCATTGCACCTCCTCTCTGAACCTAGCAGATACTCCCCAACCCCCCATGTGTTGCAGAGTAGCTCTGAAGGCAAGATTAATGACAATTTAAATGGATTTCTTTTCCCCAGCTCCTTCCATAAACTTTTTATTGCACCTGAGCCAAAATGTGCTTTGTGCCAGCAATAACTCAACCAGAACCAGTCCCACTTGAATAGAACTTGCATCCATGGTTCTACCCAGGCCTTTTGGAAATATTGCTCGTCAGTTTGATTGACATGCAGTCCTGTGTTGCTTTCTGCGTGTCAAAATCTCTGAGTGATGGTTCAAGAGTAAGGACTGCCTGAATCTCGATATGATAACTCTCGTGCTTGAAGTGCACTTTCTTTTTTAATTTTGATATGTGTCTGTCAAAAATGCTTTACTCTTGAGTATTAATTGACTTTAAGGTTTCGAGCGAATGCAAATGTTTTCCCTCATGAAGCATCTGTAAAAGCAATGTCTTGGAAATTTCTGTTGTGAGTGTTGCAAAGTGTAGTACGTTCATCTCAGAGCATTCAGCTCCATTATTAAAGTCATTCTCTTCGCTCTTGTGCGCTGTTCTTTCTCGACAATGAACCAAATGAGACCAAGAAGGGAAGTAGGGATGGTGGTCCAAGATTTCGACCGACTTTGCTCTTGGACCCTTTGGAAAGTGAATCAAATGGCTTGAATGTGTATTTTTGACCTGTTTTTCATACCCCCTTACCCCGCCCCTCCACCCCCCCGTGTAGAATTGCCTCGTGTGTTTTCAGTGCCACCGCATGGTGGCAAGTCTGTAAATGACACCTCAGTCTGACGACCAACAAGGAGAACCTTGGTCCCACCATGTGCTGTGGATACACAATGAAGCTCAAATGCTCCTCACCAATGTGTCCCTTGTAGTACTTGAGTTTCTCCACAGGCTCAGATTGACCCCAACACAAAATATTTCTTTAACCAAGCGTTGATTGCTAAACTATGATAAACTAGTTGTATTACACAATGGTGCCATTCTTATTTTGGCTGTAAAAGGCTAAATAAAATAGGTTTCATTTTATAAAAGAGCAAGCTCGTCACCTTAAATATCAAAGTAAAAATCAAGAACTATACAAGGCTTTCACCTCAAAAAGAGATTCTCCAAGTGTCCAAACCAAATTAAAATTGGTCATTCCCTTCATTATTGTTTGTGGGACTTTGCTTCAACAACTCCCAGAGCACTTTGCTGCACACAAACTGGCAGCTTGGAAACTACAGTCACTACACTTTGCAGTATATCCTGTGAAGCGCTTTGAAATGCCTTTCTGACATGAAAGATACTATATCAAATGCAAGAATTACTATTAGAAAAATAAGATTGCTTATATAACAATTTTAATCTCTGTCAAAGGGCAAAAAATGGTGAGACTCTTGAGAAAACCGGAATGCGAGAGATTTCATTTGGAAGATTGAAAATCTCACTGCACAGCATCTATGCCGTCTGATGGTGAATGGAGCACTTATCTGTGTTGCCTTAATTGTCTCTGATTGCTATTTGTGCTCCATCGCCACTTCCCCACAGCCAAATCCACCTTGAACTGTTTGAAATTCCCTGCATTGACTAATATCAATCAAGCCATGCAGTGCGGCACATAATTTAACCATTGCCCATTTGAACAACAGTGCATCACTTTGGGGGAAAGTTTTTTTTATTTGACTGGTGTTAAGAACTTTTCATTAGTAATTAGAAATAGCACCTCAAAGCATCGATTTATGTTGATTGTGATGACTTGTGGCTCGGTGGGTTAATCTTTTGTAGTGTTTTTTTCCAGAAATTATGAGCTGTAAAGCCAGTTATTTTGTCTCCTGGCTACTCGACTTCTAAAGATAATTATTAAGACTGTTGTAGTCAAGCACTCTTACGTGTCCTAGAACTCAATCACATTGGATGATAATGATTCTCCAAACAACTGTTCTTTCTTTCAAAGGTTAAGCTGTTTAAAATGACTGAATGCATTTAACTTGTTGAAACTGCTTTTTTTTAATGCAACATAATGGGTAGAGCTTTCCTTTTGATTTTCATTCTAAATGCATTTATTTAAAAAATATTTTTTTTCACCTTGAGGAATACAACAGAATAATGTAATAAAAGCCTGCTGTTTACAGCATCCTTTTATAAGCTGTGAGTTTTAAAGGACATTTGTGAAACCAATAAAATATTAACAAAGTCAGCGGGCAAGATGATTTGAATAAAGACGTTGTCATAGTAACACAGAATTGGTAGAGAGAGGGGAAAATAAATCTTACTAACATTTCATTGCTTTAGTCTTTAAATTGCAAATGTAAAACAAGTTTTATTTTAAGCAAATTACAATATTTCCGTGAGAGATTCAGGCCGCTTTTGCATCCACAAATTATTTTGGAAATACGGTAATGTCAATTTTCCAATCAGTTTTTAAAGCGTTTTTTAAAAATGCCCAAAAATTCATCCATGTAAAATGAACTCTTAACAACACATTGTGTGCGATACTAAAGTAGTGTCAAATCTATTTCTAGACATTTGAAAAATATTTAATTGGTGCACATTTAAGGACAAATAAATGGATGTTCTATTGTATGTTTATATTGTAAAATATGAAATGCTGCAATAAATTTGATAAAGTTAGTAGCTTAAGCAGTACTGTACAGTTCTGCACTAATCTTTCTTCAAGCAAATTTTGATATAATGTGTTTCTTTAATCAAAATGTCAGCATTTTTCCTGCGTAATCCTTCCAAAATAAGCAATGTTATTGCAGCTGTACTAAATTCTCAAAATTATTACCTTTTGTAATACATTTTTATAAATTAGACAAATGACTCAATATTAAACTGGTGGATTGTCATCTGACCAGTTAGACAATATGCTTGAAAGTTTAGTTTTTTAAAATTTTTGGGGCAAGATCCTGTTTTCTCTTCATGTTTTGAGGGTTACAGCATCTCAATTCAAGGAAATAATGCTCCTTTGTGAAACGATTAGTGCAGATTTATCAGGAAATAACTTGCAGTAAATTAAAGCGAAATGCCATTCGTGATACAGTTAAAATAGTTTTAATGTATCTGCAACGTGGCAGCAGTCTTGAACAATATGACTGCTACATGCTGTTCTTGATTGCTTCTGATTACTATTGGCTATACAAAATTTCAATTACAGATACATTTATATTGAACTTGTGTAAGCACAAGCACAAGTAAACACATTATGTATATATATTAATATATATTTGTTGAACGCCAGAACTTTTAAGCTTTTCGTCTAAGGTTGATCAAGGGGTATGTCAGAGAGTAGTATGGGATTTTTATTTTTACTTTGGGACCGGACATATGGACTTCACTGGCCTTTTCCGGTTTGGTACATTCCTTTGTTCCTATATTTCACCATATGTGCTCATAATAATTAAGTACAGCTACTGGCTTTTTACTGCCCTTTGATATATGGCAATGCTTGAGCCAAAAATAAAAGTATACAAAAAATTAAATTCAAGGAAAATGTATGGCATTCTCTTTGATATTGTGCCATCCATCTCCACAGAAAATTAGCAATTATAATAATCCTTGCATTTGATTTAGCACATTATCACGTCATGGAAAAGTGCTTTAAAGTCTTCACAGAATATTGTAAAGTGAATTGACTGTATTTTGTGGGCGAAACGCGGTAGCCAATTGCACACAATGGTATTACGCAATCAGTAGTGGATTGAGTGACCACATTTTTTCATGTATTGCCTTATGACTTTCATCAATGATAAACTTCCAATTATACTTTTGATGTTATTTTTCTCTTATGCACCCACCATCTGCCTGCACACATTCCCATACTTAGTGGATGTTTTCTTATTACTGTAGTTTTTTTTCCAACTGGGATTGTGGGAATACACGCGTGTGCAAGGCTAGCAGCTATCACTGTGACTACGAGACAATCTCCTTGCAGACTTGATCTTATCGTGTGCTTAATTTTGGCTCGCTGTTACTGACCATATGTAGCACGTATACTGCTAACTTTATAGTTTGCCCCTCTCCCCACTTAGATTTGAACAACTCCTTTTAGACTACCAATATGAATGGACCTTGCAAAGATTTATTTGGGCATCTTGTCTTTGAAATTCTAGTAATACTAGCAGCAGAGGTCAGTTACTAATTAAGCTGCACCTGTATTTGATTTCCCTGACCTCTTTTGATTCTTTACTTGGGCTATGCTGCAATTCTTGCTACAGTGGTTGGGGCTCAAAGAAAAAGCTTTGTGGCTACCAAACACCGCACTGTCTTCCGTCCAACTTCCGTTCTGTCTTATTTTTGTAAGTACAAGCGTGTTTTTCATGCATTCATTTATGCTCTGCATTATAATTTGATAACCAGGTTCAGT